CGCCCCTCCTGCCCGAAGCAGTAACAACAGCAGTAACTCCCTCAGCAGCAGTTCAGCCTGTAACAACATCAACTCCTGAAAAAACAGCTTGTCCTACAGCCACGATCAACCAAGTGATTGCTGAGCAAGATGCCGCCACCAGTCGCATTCGTGCTTGGACGGAGTTACAGCAGCTGTACAAGGAATCTGAAATGGAGTCTGACGAGGCTATAGTCTCATGGCTGGAGCTCATGTCCATGGAGTTTAAGCTTGACTAGTTGGCCCCTCCTTCGTCAGCTGTCATGACTGCGTATCCTGATGGAGCCAAGATTATCTAGTGATCGGGACTGTCAACACCCGACCGGAATTCAAGGCATGAAACATCATGAATCCGACCTTCCATCACTGCCACAGAGAACACCAGAAGAGCGATACATGTTTGGATTTCTCCTACAGCGTTCTGGACTCAATAAGCGGCAACTTTGGATTTTAGGGGACGCAGGCCAATGGCAACTGGCCTATGAGTTAGGTTTCCGTTGCCTGGAAGAATTAGACGACGGCTCCTCGACGATTTCATCTGGTTGAGTGTGCAAGAGAGGGTAGTTCAAGGTAGCAGACACCTGTATTATTTGTTTTAGAAATGATAGTATAGTTCCATGGAAACCTTGTAAATATTTTGAGATACGTTAACTTATTTTTTGAAAGTTTTTGTTTACAGGTCCTAAATTCAGAGTGCGTGGTGAAGAGAAGCCCCGAGAAAAATAACATCACCGAGAAGTGAGGGCCTGATGCGCGACTTCACCATAACGCCCACTGAAGCCCTAATCGTGCAGTTTTTGTTATGAATCTAATTATGTGTATATGTGTTCGTGTTGGTTATTATTTGGTTCGATCCCTTGAGGACGAACTTCTTATGTTGGTGAATTTTGTGTTTACCCGTTTAGTTCAACAACCCGTGGTAAGAGCTCTTAATTACTCGAGTGACGAGCGTGCAGCATAATTCAGCTGTGCCTTCAGCAAGGGGGGATGTCACAACCCAAGGGTGTGATTTTGCTTTTGTGTGTGCTTTGACACCACTGAATTATTTTCCCGCCGTTTGTAGCTTTCTTTGCAGGGTGCATTTCTTCTTTGCAGCATAAGAAATGCACGTTGCAAGGAGTTCCCACCATTTGTATTAGAATTCGAGCCCCATTATTCGCTTGTGTTAAAATATTCCCACATGGCGGCTAGCGATTGGCTTGCTAGCCGTATAAGAGGCTTGAGTGGTTTCCGCCCAAGTTGGAGGACTCCACAAACATCAGGAGGAGGAGACTTCACGTCTCGTGAAGATCTCTAAGCGCTGCAGAACCTATTGGACCCAGCATGAATATCAAGAAGGCAACAGGGGTCTGATCAGCCTCTAGCCTCTCCCCGTCGCTGAGCGCAATCTTCGACGTATCCCTCTTCCCTGCGCGCAAGTTCCATGGAGCCTAGCAAACTTCGTGTGAGTCTATTCAGAGCTCTTTGCTTCGAGTACTTTCTTTGGTTGGCACGACGGGCTCGCAGTTTAGAGCCTCCAACCAGATGGGCTAGAAGAATGTTCATGGGAAGGAACTCTAGTCCGCCTCCCTTCTTTTCTATCTGTAACCGCAACTCAAGCAAGTTTTCCTGCCTGCACTGTGACCATCTACGGTGTAAGTAAACAATCTTGAATCAACCATTACGCGTCCGTGCCTAATTCTAGCGTGTCGCCTGCTTTCTCCGACCCAGCGTGTCCGGGCTGCTGGCCACAGCTTGCGGCGCGAAAAAAGGGCCCCAGATCGCTCCCGGCCCGCACATGGAGGAGTCAGCACAGCCCAGCCCAGGGCTGCAAAGCATGCTGGGGGGGTGGGGGTTGATTTAACTTGAACCAGAAAGGGGTCTGGGACAGAAGTTTGACCTAAATTAGTTAAGCCTGATACTACATTCAACCAGGTTTATCTTAAACCAGTTTCAGCCATTTTGACACTAGTTTATGTGCACTTAACTTCTGTTCAGTTACAGATTTAAACCAGTTTCTGATCACTTAAACCAGTTTATGCGTAACTTTTGTCCATAGCTTAAATGAAATAATAAGTCTATTAATCAGCCAAGGAGTAGTTTTAACAAACATACATAGTTTTGTTTGTTTATTTGTCAAAAGAAATTATCCTGTAAATTGATGTTTCCAAAGCTAAAGTCAGGTTCTACTTACATTGTGAATTGGGAGCAATTCTACGGACATAAAGGACTTCTGTTGGTATGAGAAGAAAGTAAAGATTCAAATGACTTATTTTAATTTCTCTTAACAATGTTTCTTTCTGGCAAGAAGGTATGTGAAATATGGTCACTCAGATGGAACATTTTTAGGCACATTGAAATCCTCATGATATTTTAATTTTTTGTGTTTATACAAATTAATTGTGATAGCCTTAGTTTACATAATATTAGTGAACATGCACAATATATAAATGTATACACGCAACTAATTTAGACAACTGAACCATACCATTCTATTCATGTTGCTTAGTAAAGATTTTTATCCAGTATCTGTTGACCATAATCTGATTTTGAGAAAGTAATAGAATATTATCTGTGACAGAAATATGCTGAACAAAAACAAAAATTAATTAATTTTTGCATCTCTGATTATTAATTATTAATGGTTTATTAGAGAAGATTGTCATCTTGTGTATATTTTAGTTTCCTTGGCAGTTACATTTGTGGCAGTTCTCCGCTAGCAATTGAATTGTTTTTCTTTTTCTTACTCTTTTATGTAATTCTTTTAAAAATACGCCCTGTTCTCTCTTCTCCTGGTCTACACAATAGGGTCCATGCACTGGGAATCAGCAGAGTCTGGCGCACAGCAGGTTGTGGGATGCAGTGGTTGGTTTTCTTCATGTATTTGCCCACATGCAGATGAAGTTATCTCAGGTATCATGCTCTTTTTTCTTTTGCTTTCTCTTTTTTTATCTTAATCACTTTTTAAGGAAGGTAATTTGTACTGACAAAAATTATTTTCTTAAGTGTAAAGGGAAACTGAACAGTGCAATGTTTAAAGGAGTACAGCAAAATAAAACATTTAGACTATGAACTCTCATGGATGTGGATAGCTGGCCCACAGAGGGACAACTGATTTGAAGAAAAATACAAATTATAGACTTGGCCCAAGTTTCCAAACATAGAAGAGACAAGTAAATCCTTATTTTTTTAAATATTATGTATGACACCTCTGTAACTTTGGGAAAACCAGCTAACCATTCTGGTGCCTAATTTCCCCATCTATAAAATAGTTCAATATATCTAGATTCTTACCTCACCTGGATGTGATAGAACTGAAAGTATTTGTTAAATAATTTCTAAAACAGTTTCCTCAGAGGAAGCATACTAGACAACTACAAATTATTTTTGTTAACATTATTGTTTAATCATTTAAGTAGTATGGCACTGAGAAGTGTCAAGTTTTGATGTTTTAGTCATTTGTTTTTATTGTGATTTAAATACCCAGTTAAGCATTGCACTCATTAGAAACTTGTCTCTCTTGAATGCTTTTTCCCTTACCTCTGGGACTTGATTGTTGAGTGGTGGTTGATTTCTGAGTTCTGCTGACCTTATTAGTATTACATATATTTTTCATTCCTGGTGAAATGGGATATTTTCACAAGAGGTGGCATTGTAGTGAATGCAGCTTTTCCATATTCATAAACAGAACAGCACAAGAAGTATAGAAATAAGAATTACAAATAGCTCATAAGTTACCAGGGTTACCAGAAATTCCTAGTTTAGGAATGAAAAAAACTGAAAAAATCTGCTGTTTTGATATCATGTGGGTGTACTTTGGCAGTGATAGGAATAAAATCCTCCCCAATCCCAGCCTAGTTCCTTAATGACTAGAAGGCATATTTTGTCTTATTATAAGCTCCTGCTTCATGTGTCGTTTGTCCATTCTTTGCACTGAATGAGGCATGGTGGCTGTGGTTCAGTTAAAAGGGTGACAGATACCAGCAGCATCCCTTTATTCTATATGAGGACCAGCTACTCAAGAGGTATTTGACACAAACTTTTGCCATCTGTTTGCCATGCAGTAATGTAAAATTGACGGCTGTGATTTCTGGATTTCCTTCCTGTTTCAGGATGGAAAAACAATCTTGTGGCTGCATACAGATAAGCCACACACACAGATTTGGCACATTGATCCTTGTTGTTGTGGATGAGGCTTGAGTTTACAATAACAACAAGTTTACAGTCTCACTTTTGTTTGAGATGACCTTGTAGAGTCTCTCAATTATACCTTATATAAAATGGGAGAACGATTCTTTCCCTGTCTGTTATGAAAGTGTTATGAGGCTTTGATTGTTAATAACAGAAAATAAGAAGACTAGTTTTAGGCTCTGCATTTTAAGAAAGAGGTTGAAAAACTGGAGAGAATCCAACAGAAAGCGGCAAAGATGATAAAGAGGTTGAAATAAAAACCATACAAGGAAGGTTTAGAGAACTAGGTGTGTTTAGTCTGGAGGAAAGGAGATGAATGCAGGACATGATGGCAGTTAGAGAGGCTGCCATAAAGAAGAGAAAAAACAATGGGCTGATGCAACATAGTAGGTTTAAACTGCTGCAAAGCAGGATTAGATAAAAATTTTAGGAAAACCTTCCTCACCATGGCAAGAGTACAGTAAGGGGAAAAGCTGCCTAGGGAAACTGGAATCTCCCCTTCTGGAGAGAAGGTAGATGGGCATTTGTCTGGAAGGTTTTAGAGCTAATACATCTTAGTCTGACCTGCTGCACAGATGTAAATGACCCGTAAGGTCCTTTCCAACCTTAAGTATTTGTGATTCCATAAGAACCATAAACAGTGCATAGGATTATGAAAACAAATCAGATATATCCCTGAGACTGGACTAAATCTAATGCTGTGTGGGTTTTACTGGTAGAGTCCTTTGTCTTAAGTGAAAGCTCAAGCTCTTGGGTTTAGGAAGCACATTCAGTAGCTTTGTGCATCTAGTACAGAGGGAAATCTGTGGAGCCTTCAGCATGCCTATTGTGGATATGATATCAGGATATTTTAAAGAGTATTCCTTTAAGGCATGTCTTCAGAAGACATGCAGGACTGATTTCCAGAGGCTTACACTTTGCTAGGTTTGGGTGGGTTCCAACATATGGCGTTTTCACTTCAGGAGCAGACCCCTGCCAAATGTCAAGTCTTTGTTTCAAACCATAGATACACTGGAACTCTTCCAAGTCTGATTGGATCTAGATGTTAACTAGTTAAAACGATCTGTTTTTCTCTAACCTTATACTTGAAAGCAAGTAAACTGTTTCTGATGGAACTTAAAAAATGCCTTAGCAAAAATAGTCCTATTTGAAGTGTATTTTATTTGCAGGACTCCAGTCAAATTGAATTATTGAAAGAGTTAATGGATCTACAGAAAGATATGGTGGTCATGCTGCTGTCTATGCTGGAAGGTAGTTTTGAATTTATTTTGAAACTCTATTTTGCAAATATTGTAATAGTGCCTTTTTCCTGCTTATGTGTTTCACAGTAGAATCTCTGCCTCTTTCCTTTTTATTATTTTAATGTTGATGTATTAATTACCAGAATAGCTGTTGCCCCTTCAGGATTCACAAACTATATGCGCTAGAGAGTCATGTAAGAATTAATTAGATCTGTATTAATTAGTTGGTTATTTTTGTTCCCATGAATGTGGCTACTGTAGTGGTTCAGGTGAGATGTTGTTTAGATCTGAAACTAGGTTTCTGGCTACAGAAGGTAGTGTGAGTAGTTTTATTTAAAGTGTGCTAACAACTGTAACATACTGCATGTAACATGACACTTTTTGTATCAACAACAACTTTAAACCGTAAAAAGAACAAATTTTGATTTCACTTGGGTAGGTCCAGTCTATGTATAAGGGATTTTCTGTTTAATAATTGCATCTGCAGTCACCTCAACTCAATCTGAAAGTGTGTGACATTGTATTATTATTTACTTATTCTGTGATAAGCCTTTACAGTCCAGATCAGGAACCAGGGCTCTGTGCAAGCAAACACAATGCCATTTCTTCGCTATAGCCTGATATCTATGTTTATATCCATATCATGTCTAAGCTCTTGAGAGAAATGGCAAGAAGAATCTGGAAGTTTGTATACACTTTGGGTTGATTTCAACTTGCTCGGTCAGGTACTGGTAGCAGTCTACCTGTGGTAGTATAGAGGTCAACAGAGGCTGCAAAAAGAAGAAAGGAAACTTAGATTGATAGCCTGTGCTAAGTTCCTTGTTGCTGCAGCTGGACTAATACATGTACCTGGTCTTGCTGGCTAAAACTAGCTATTTATGTCTACAGTATAGACTCCATACTACTTAGGGTAACTTCAGTGTAGGCATATCCTCAGTGTCATTCCTAAATTAAATCTCCTATTTTGCATTCTATTAAATGTGAAGGAAGTCTTAGATGTTTTATGACTTGATATTTTTCTTCTTCTAAAACAAATGTTAACAGTTACTTCTGACATTGATTCTCCATATTTAAGCATAGTATTTTTAGATATAGATATTAATCTGTATACTATTACACTGAAGTTCTGAATGTGACTGTCGGTCAGAAATGTTTAAATCTTACCATATGATTCTCTATCGGGAAGTTCTTAAGAACAAGTCAGACAAGCACTTGTATCGAATGGTTCAGATAGGGATGATACAGCTGGGACCTGAGGGCTGAATTAGATGGCCTTCTGAGGTCCTTTTCAGGTCTATTTACTCTCTTATTCTTTTACCCATTGTTAAACATTACCACTGATGACTAATTGAATTTCACCACCTTCAGGTAATGTTGTGAATGGAACTATCGGCAAGCAAATGGTTGACATGTTGGTAGAATCGTCCAACAACGTAGAGATGATTCTGAAGTTTTTTGATATGTTCTTAAAACTAAAAGATTTAACTTCTTCTGATGCATTCAAGGAATATGACCCTGATGGCAAAGGTGTAATTTCAAAGAGGGACTTTCAAAAGGCAATGGAAAGCCATAAGCATTACACCCAATCTGAAACAGAGTTTCTGCTGTCTTGTGCTGAGCCAGATGAGAATGAGACTCTGGACTATGAAGAATTTGTGAAACGGTTCCACGAACCCGCTAAAGACATTGGTTTCAATGTTGCTGTTCTCTTAACAAACCTGTCGGAGCACATGCCCCATGACACTCGCTTGCAGACTTTCCTTGAGCTAGCAGAGAGTGTTCTGAATTATTTTCAGCCCTTTCTTGGGCGTATAGAAATCATGGGCAGTGCAAAGCGCATTGAGCGAGTTTATTTTGAAATAAGTGAGTCAAGTCGGACTCAGTGGGAGAAGCCTCAGGTTAAAGAGTCAAAACGACAGTTTATATTTGATGTAGTAAATGAAGGTGGAGAGAAAGAAAAGATGGAGCTTTTTGTTAATTTCTGTGAGGATACCATCTTTGAAATGCAGTTGGCTGCTCAGATCTCTGAATCAGATTTGAGTGAGAGATCAGCAAATAAAGAAGAGAGCGAGAAAGATAAGCTGGAGGAACAGGACCCTAGAATGGGCTTTTTCACCCTTGTGACGGTAAAGTCAGCTTTAGTAGCCCTCAAGTATAACATAATGACTCTCATGAAAATGCTCAGTGTGAAGAGTCTAAAGAAGCAGATGAAGAAGATGAAGAAAATGACCATGAAGGATATGGTTATGGCTTTTTTTTCTTCCTACTGGAGTATTTTGATGGGCTTACTCCATTTCACATCTAGTGTTTTCCGGGGCTTCTTTCGCATCATGTACAGTTTATTACTTGGTGGAAGCCTAGTAGAAGGGGCTAAGAAGATCAAGGTGGCTGAACTTTTAGCTAATATGCCAGATCCCACTCAGGATGAAGTGCGTGGGGAAGGGGAAGAAGGAGAGAGGAAACCCACAGAAACTGCACTGCCTGCAGAAGATCTGACAGATCTAACAGCTTTGTCAGATGATGGTGACCTGCTCTCAGACATATTTGGCTTGGACTTGAAAAGAGAAGGAGGCCAGTATAAGCTGATCCCTCACAACCCAAATGCTGGTCTGAGTGATTTATTGAGCACTCCTTCATTGCTCCCATTACCTGAGGTGCAAGAAAAAGTCCAGGTAACAAACTCTATCCATTTACTTGCAATATTTTCACTTAAATTCATTTGTCTGCTTGAATTAAAACTTGCAACTATATTTGTGAGACTTTGGCTTCTTTTCTTAAGTGTGCTGTGCTTAATAAAGAATCACATTGAATTGTCAAAACATAGTCTTTAGGAGGTTACAGAATTTAAGCCCCAAAGTCTTACCTGTGTATAAGTTTTGTTGATTTGCTTTTAAATCAAAATCAAAATGTGTTTTATAAATGCAAAGTGAAGTGTCATTTTCACTTAGTGTGGTATCAGTTAAAAAGGCAACCTTAATGTTCAGCACTGTGACCATGTTGCCTTTAACCATGTTTTGAAGGTTTTGTACTGTATAATACTGCTTAGCATTTTCTTTATCTGACTCACTCAAGGAACAGAAGGTGAAAGAAGATGAAAAGGATGAGAAGGAAGAAACTAAATCTGAACCTGAAAAAGCAGAGTATGTATAATTCTAGGCCATAAGCCTACATTGCTTTACTGAAAAATAAGGTTTGTTTACTTTTATAGCATCACCCTTTTATTATTGTGTCAGAAAGACATCTCACACTAAATGTAGGATTTTCTTTACCTGTCATCCTCCCCAATTGGAGACTGACAAAGGAGCACTCACATTCCAATACAGTGAAGCCAACATAAACATTGAAATGATATAGAGGTTTTATGCAACTCTTTGATTCAGTCCATCCTTCCCAGTCCATTTTTCCAGTCATGTTCACTGTATTTATATGATGCCACAAACAACAGGCAGTGTTTTTAGTATTGCTACTTCATGGTAAGTCTTTTGATGACTAGGATTTACAGACGGGGTTGTGCTACCTGCTTCCCTTCCCCACGCAGTCCCAGATTCATGACTGCTAAATTTCCAGGCCAAGTTGAGATTCCCAATAGTATATAGAACTTCTGTATTCAAGGCTCCACATACTCTACCTAAATCTAGACATGAATTCTGCTCCAGCACCCCCAATTTTCTCTAGTGCACTGATATGAAAATTTTGCAGGAGCTCAATTTAAGTTAAAATATAAAGTCTAAACCTTCATATCTGCTTTTTTTTTAATGATTCCTGTCCTGAATGTACTTTATTTGATTATGTACCAAAGTTTTCCATTTTTATTGTGTGATAAATGACATTTTCCATCTCACAGAAAAGTTGGAGGTTAGGCTGGGTAGAGAACAGTTAGGGCATTTGATGGGTATAGGATGGTGGGATAAAAGCCATAGGTGACATTTGCATTGAAATGATCAGCAGTGGAAAAACTGTATTTTGAAAGTCTCATGTTAAAGTCTCAGAACTAAAAACCTGATAAGGCAGCGTATTCCATCTTGAAAACTCATTTTTATAGAGCCGTTTAGGAACTGGGAATGGGAGTTTTCAACCTGTGAAAAAGTTCACATATTTTTTTTCATTCCAAACTTGAACAAAAGATTGGTAATTCAAGCATTTCTTTTTCAGGGCAAGACTTTTTTTTCATTGGATTGGTAGGCTGGTAGGGGAAGGCCTGGCAGTTTAAGAAGCTGGCCACCCAGGAAGTGCTAGGATCTGGGGAACCTGGTGTCCTTGCAGCAGTTTACAAGAGGAGTCTACCAAGGGGATGGGGAATCCTTCACAAAATATCCTAAGTGCTTTTGAACCTAGGAAGAAGTTCTCTTTCTCCTTCTCCTTCTCCTTCATCCTGCATCAAAGCTAATTAGGCTCCATGAGTGGATTAGTGTACAGTAGGATTATGGACTCACACATATATAACAGATTTTAGGATCTTTAGTGACTCTGCCAAAAACTGTGGTTCCTTTATTTTTCAGGGGTGAAGATGGAGAAAAGGAAGAGAAAACTAAAGATGAGAAAGGGAAACAGAAGTTGAGACAGCTTCATACACACAGATACGGAGAACCAGAAGTTCAAGAATCAGCCTTTTGGAAGAAAATCATAGCATATCAACAGAAACTTCTTGTAAGATGTTCTTTACATTAGATGTTGTACTTGCATGTTGATTAGGCATGTTTTCCAGGCACTTGTCATGTAGTCCTGAACAAGATGCCTGTGCAGCTATCTCTCTGATTTTGTTCACTTGTTTTTTGTATGTCTGATGTACTCCAAAAGGAAAAAAAAAGGAAGAGCATAATTAAAATAATACTGAAAAATCTGAATGTATTAGGCAAATGCAGCATTTGTAGAAAAAAAAGCATTATGGATCCACTTCAAGCTGGGGACAAGGTATGCTTTGGAGGTGCACACATAGTGTTTTATGTCCACCAAACCTGGTATTTTTTGTGCACAGGTGTTTGTCCATGCTACTACTAACTTTGCACATGCAAATACAGGGTTTTGTGGCTGCAGTGAAAGAATAGGTATTTTTCATGTTTCTCATGGGAAACATTGCACAAATACTTTTTTCACAAATGTTCACAACTGTGATTCAACTCCCAATAGGTAAGCAGCCCAAAGGTAAATTAGGAGGGTGGGATTTCAGAGTTAAGCAAAATGTTTGATGAGTTTGGAAGCACGGCAGTGTCTTCCCTTACAAATATGTTTCGTTGGTCTCTCAGGGTAAGAAGGAGTGTGAGCAGCTGACATGCTTAAAAGGCTTTGCCAGTACCCTTAATGGGACTGACAAATTGTTCCTTGATTCCATTTCTGGAGTCCAAGGCAGGTTTTGCACTTTGGTGGGAGTGGGGAGCAAGTGCCAGTGGAGTGGGGTAAGTCAGAGGCATATGTAAAAGATTTTTCATGTTGGGCAAAACCCTGCACCCTGGAGGGAGGACAAGGGCTGGGGGAGGAGGAGGAGGAGGAGGACGGTGGTCAGTCTTACTTTCCCCAAGAGTCAAAGACCCTTGTTGTTTCTGCTTGCCCTTCCCTGGCTGCTACTGTGGTGTTCGTGCACCTGCGCTACTGCCTGGCACAGCAAAGACTCCTAGGGGTGGGAGGGGAGGGGATCATTGTTTTAATACCCAGGGCTTGTACCTTGCTCACACAGCTCTCAACTAATTGGTCCCAAACTTTTTAAGAACAGATTAGAAAAACACTAGTCTAACCTAGTTGGACAGGGATGATCCTGCCTTGAGCAGGGGGTTGGACTAGATGAGCTCCTGAGATCCCAGCCCTTCCTTCTTTGTGGTTTATAAATTGTTTGCATGACAGACATACCCTAGGTTATCCACATTTCTCCAGTTCTCAGAAAGTCTAGGCTTTGAGTCAACCCTTCACTTATTTCATTTCAAGCAATTTTTGGAGGGGATTGAGGGAAGAAGCATTCTTGAGCAGCAGGCTTAATAGTAAAGCTCTCTAATTAATAAAATCATGTTTCTTAAAAATAATCTTTAGTGTTTAACATGGGTGGAGAAATCAGATATATAAAATTATTCCTAAACAAACAAGCTTTATTTGTTTTATTATATTTCTTTTCAGAACTATTTTGCTCGTAATTTTTATAACATGAGGATGTTGGCTTTGTTTGTTGCTTTTGCCATCAACTTCATCTTGCTCTTCTATAAGGTAAATTTATCATATTATTACTATTCTGTCCTGGTAGTGAATAATTGCATTAATGCAAAAGACGTAGGAGGTAGCATACCCAAAGTAACAATCTAAATTCCCACTAAAACTAGCCAAAGATTGCACAGCCTTAGGGGTTCAGTGTCTGCTTCATATTTCAAAGGTATCGATCTCTAATCTTATTAAGTTTGTACTCTGTACACATTTCTGTTAGATGCTTTTTCTAGAAGTCCAAAGTGGAAAAATCTAATGAAAAATATGCTACATATACCAGAAATCTAACTTAGAAGAAATAAAGTTCAGATCTATACAAATATGTTTCTTCATTCAAAGCAAAACAAAACAAAACACCCACCCACACACCCACCCACGCAGAGAGAGAGAGAGAGAGAGAGTATAGGATAAAGGTTAATTATTTAAGATATCAAATGAAAACGTGCAGGTACATAGTGGCTCCTGAATCTGTCCATGGAGTCTTCTTTCCCCTTTTCCTTGAAAAAAGCAATCTCCGCATAACCCAGAGTTGGCAGGGGCAGAGTGGAATTAGTTGAGGGGGATGTATAAACTAGCCTAAAAGAAGATATGGAGTGTACTTAATATAGTCACTTTTTCACTGATAGCCCTGTAGGATAAATGGATGCTGCCAGACCCGAACCAAATCCTGGCATAGCCTTTCTGCTAGAGGGCACATTCAGATGAGCATGTACATTTGGTTCCCCAGGGACAAGTAGCAACGGTGCACCTTGTGACACAGCTGCTTGTCCCTGGGGAATGCCCGTGCTATGTGCACTTTGGCATGCAGCAAGTTACCCTGGGTGTGGTTGGGGAGGCTGGGGCCAGCACTGTGCTATCCCCAGCAGCCTTACCTGGGGTCCTGGGGCCCTCCCAGGGCTGCAGCAGCAGTGATCCTGCCAGGCAGAACGTGGCCATCAGCCGCAGTACGGCTCTGGGCAGCCTAGCTCTGCTTTTCAGTAGCACATGCTGCCTTAGGTTGTTTCCCCCCCCCCCCCCCCCCCCCCCCACACAGGGAGGGAAAAAAAAACAGAGCAGTGCATGCTTAGGCAGCATGTCCTTTGCAGCTCAGAGAACACCAGAGCATGCGGTGTGTAGCACTGCAAACGTGTTTCCAGCTCTACATACTGCACGGCTGTGCTCACCTAGACATGCACAGAGACTCCAACCAGCATAGCCAGAGGTACAGTCTAGGTATAGGGCTTCCATCAAGATGATTTTGGCCTCCGATGGATCCCAGGCAGAGTGTCAAGTTTGTGCCAGTTTTACTGGGGTGGTGAGGGATGGCAAAACATTCATCTCAGTACAATATCATGGAGAGGATGGAGATTTCTTGTGAAGATTTCTTCACAGACAATTCTCTTCTGGCCTCCCCTAGTTTGACTTCCTTGATTTATGGTACCCAGCCTTTAAAAATGTGAAACACCTGTCAAATGAATACTTGTCCCACTTACTTTAAGTGATTTGAACAGGTCTCCACCTCTTCCGCGACAGAAGAAAAGGAAGTTCATGTGGTACATGCTGGTGAAAACTCCAAATTAAACAGCCTAGAAAGTGGCTCTCACAGGATTATCACAGTGCACTACGTGCTTGAAGAAAGCAGTGGGTATATGGAGCCCACGCTGCGGATCTTGGCTATCCTACACACTGTCATCTCCTTTTTCTGCATCATTGGATACTACTGTTTGAAAGTAAGAGGCCAAGGAGTTGAATATTGTTTGTGTCCCACGTCTCTGTGCCCCCCCTTCCCCAGTGAAATGTAGTGGGGCAAAATTATTGAGAATTTGCATCAATAGTGTGAGGCATTATATGGAGAAACACTGTCTTTCGGATATCCTATCTACACTAGCTGGTTGTAAGGTAAACCCCACACGAATTCAGAAAGGATAGCCTGTCCTGTGAGCAAGGCAGATTTTGTAACCTTTAGCATGCTTTCATAGACTCCACAGTAGCCATGTATGTTCATGCCACAGTGTTTTGCAAGAGGTCTTATATGTGATTTTCACATGCAAGTGGAAAGGATACATATGAGCAGTGGAAACTGGCAGTGTTGCACATAGTCAACAGTTCTGTTGGAGAACAGTGTATTGCCAGAGCTCTGTTGTATTTCTACTGGATCTCCACTGATCTTCAGTGGGTATGGAAAATCACTGTTTATTATCCTTTACCTAGTCTGGCGGTCTTGTTTTGGCAGAAACACAAGACAACAGAACAACTGCACTATCAAAGAAGGTGTATCGATAACATTTTTCTTTTTATGCTGTAGGAAATTATTCAGCCTTATTTTTTCCAGCTGTCGTTAATGACTGCTATATTTCCTTGGCCAAAAAAGATGTAACTGCTTTTACCTCTGAGACAAATGATCACATGTTGCAGTCAAAAGTGGCTGATTTCCCTCAGTAGTTCAGTGCCTCCACAGATTAGTAAACGCTAAAATACGTTTTCCATGAGTGAATGTTATTTGGTATGCAGACTACTATCTCCAAATCCTAGTTTTGAGACTTGATTTTCTTTTTTTCGGTGTGAGATGTGTGGAACTTCTTTGAGAATTAACTTTTTAAATTTATCCTCTGGCTAAAGATGAATTTAGAAACCCATTGAAGTAGCTATTTGCTGTAAAGATTTCCCACTTCTCCACTTTCCAAGACCCTGAAGAGAAGGCGTTTCCTCAAAAAAGAACATTTCTAGTTTCTGCCTTTGGCTGATGGAAAATTGTTTTTAAAATAGTAATAATAATAAACCTTCCTCTGCTGTTGTCTGTGATGTTTTGGTGTCCAGAGATTGCTTTTAGATTGAGACTGAATTAAATGTACTTCATTTCTTTTATTTAAACATCTTGAAATAAGAATTGGATTACAGTTAGTATATATAGTCTAAGTACCATCAGTGTTAATGAATACAGTATTAATTGCTGTAGTTTCAACATAATAGTGTCTTGCTGTATGCTGCCATTTGTGATAAGAAGTCAGTTGCAGAATGGGTGCATTTTGAGGAGTTCAGAAATAATTTAAGAAGCTTAGGAGAATCACTTTTCAAAATATAAGAGAATAAAACAGCCCACAGTCTACATGAATGCAGTCAGATTGTGCCTTTGTCAGTAACTGTTACCAGAGGAAAGACCATTCAAATACAACCTGAAGATCTATCAGCTTCATCCAGCCCCAATGGAAGGTATATCTTCAGACAGTGACTCGGCTCTCACAAGGCAATTCTGTTCTAAGATAGGATTTTTAGATCCTTACAGCCTAGGTCCTCAGGTACAGGAGAAATCTGCAGAACACAGTTGAAGGGGAGGGCATGCAAAAGTGATTTAAGCCATCTTCTCAATTGCTCTGATCCCCCTGCTGCTCTGGATGCTGTTTTCTCTGCAGCCTTCAAATTACCTTAACCTCATAGCCTTTACCAGTGTTTGGTTGTAATAATGCCACACAGCAATCTTTGGGAACATTGCATATAAGCTCCGTTTTTTAAGCATATCCTTTCTACTCTGCTCTTCTGACTGATATGCAAACCCTTATATTACTTCTATGCCATTGTAGAGTTACCCCTGCATTTGAATGAATGTCCTAGGGTTTATGTTATGACCTCATTATTATGAAGAGGTTGAATGGTACAAAATGATCTGTGCTGGCATCAGCCAAATTCTTGATTGCTTGAAAACCTGTCCTATAAATTACTGTGACTATGGAACAGTTTATAATTTTTCCTTCTGAGAGTTATTAAACTTCATTTTACCCAGCAACCAGCTGTTATTAAAAGAGTAGTTCTCAGAGCTGTCAGAAATTTTTCACTCATTTTTAATATGTTGATTTTTCAATTGCAGGTTCCACTGGTTATTTTTAAGCGAGAAAAAGAAGTTGCAAGGAAATTAGAATTTGATGGGTTATATATTACAGAACAACCATCAGAAGATGATATTAAAGGGCAGTGGGATAGACTTGTTATCAATACACAGTGAGTATATATTTACTGTAGTTTTTACAATTGTGTAAAGAATTTTCTGTAGTAGACACAGCTTGAATAGTTATCTATCTATCATGTTTGTAGGAAGTGAACAATGCTGATGAGGTTTAATTTTGCAGCAGAGGAATTCAAAATCATTAAGTATCCATAGCATCTAATGTATACCATCATTTTTAGCCTTCCGTGCTCTGAAGGCTAGAATCTTTAATATGATTTTTTTTTTTCTGAAAGAGAAAAAAAACATTGAAATAAAATCCTTTCTGGCTACTATGGTACTCATTTACACATATGGTATTCTTTAACATGTCCTGTTGTTGCCCTACAGCAGCAGTTCCCGATCTGTGGTACACTTACCACCAGTGGTACACAGACAACCTCTCAGTGGTACATGGGAGCAGCAGATGGGGGTGCACAGGGCACTTGGGTGGTGGGGAAGGCAGCTGACTCCAGCACATGGGGCTTCCCTCCCATGCTCAGAGAGTGAGGGGAACGCCGGTGATACCCAGAGGAGGATGCGCCCCTTGCTGCAATGTGCAGCGCTGGCTGGAGCTGTGCCCTGAGCACCCCCACCTGCTGCTGCACTGTGGGGTGAGTGGAGGGGGGCCGCACCCCCCCCCCACCCACCCTCACATCCCACATTTCCACACCCTGCCCCTACAACCCCCCACATATACACAACCCCCCAACATAACCTATGCTCCCCCCCCCCCCACCCCCAACATGGTGGTACTCAAGGTTTTATCACTTTAAATTGGTGGTAAGCCATCTGTCAGAGTTTGGGAACCACTGCCTTACAGTATTACATTAGTTTTACACCACTGTAGACTTCTCAGATGATCTCCTTAGGAGATCATTCCCACACCTTATTCTGAGCAGATCCACACAGTTCAACTTTGCTCCAACTGGGTCTCTGGATGTTAGCTCCCTACTATTTCTCAGCTATGCTAACTTGCCAGACCCAACTCTGTTTGGCCCCTGGTAAGCCAGTCTGGGCAACCAGTTGATTAGAGCAACTTGCAAAACAGAATCTTCAAAACAAACCTGGACTGTCACAACCAGCAGCCTACAGGCTGCATCTGCCCCATAGAAGTTAAAGTGTGGTCTCTGGTCTCCCAGTCTGGGCATCTCTTTCTTCACTGTTCTCCTACTGCTGGCACCTGGGTCTCTGGGGTCCCATCCAGCTTTTGCTTCCTGCCTCTTTCCTTGTCCCTTTGCATGGCATGGCCCACAGGGCTGAGGAAGCCAGGACACTTGGGGGGACCTGGTGACCTGGTATGGTCCAGCAGGGGTAACTTGCCATATGGAGCTATGGGGGATGGGGAATGAAGCATGGGAGCATAGCACAGCATGGCAGGGAGTGAGGGTATATGGCATTGTTCAGTGCAGCAAGGAAGAGGGGGCATGTGGCATGGTCTGTGGCCCCCAGCTACTCAGAGCCTGCTATAGTTATTCATTCCCCAGTGACAGAAGGCACACAGAACAGCCAAAGGCAAAAGCAATAATATGATTACATATATAGATCCTAGTTTCAAAACACCTGGAAAGCAACAATTAAGATACAAATCACCCTCAGCCCAGCCAAGCCCACCTCTAACAAGGAGAAACACACTGGCCTGCCAGCACTGACTCAGTGTCTCTGTGTTGTCTCACAGATGCTTGTCACTATCTTAAACATGCATCATTTTCTTTGCCCCATGGTTTAATTTTTTGCATAGTCTGTCCCAATCTCACCTGTCTTCTTTCATTCAGTATCAGACTGTCAACTTCCATCTCCAATTGGCCCACAATTTATCTCTGTTACCCGCTTGTTAGATTTTTCAAACAAGCATCTTTAATTTTTTTGACATGTAGCCCTTCATGCTCACAAGAATCCAACTGTAAACATCCCCAGCATAACCTCATTAGCCTCCTTCAGCCTCTCTTCAAAAGTCTTCCTTTTACTAGTAGCTATAAAAAAAAAAAAAAAAAAAAAATGCTGTTGCAGTAGTGCACTGATACAACTCCCCATTATGCTTACCAGTATTGTTTTGTTAGTTCTCACTACATCCCCCCCTGTCTGTATCCATCTGTTTTTCTAGTCAAAGACATAGCTCACTGGGACAGGAACTGTTTTTTGTTTTTGTTTTTTCAGTGTTTGTATAGTGCCTGCCCCAGTGAGATCCAGGGCAATGGCGATAGGAACTACAGTATTACTACTACTGACATCATTGACTCCCTATACACAAGCTCGGGGGTGGGGGTATTTTAATTATAGTGGTTTCCAGAGAGCTGCGCTAATTAAACAGCACAATATCACATGTATTAAGCCCCTGCACATTTAAAAATGGCCACAAGATACTCTAACTAAAGCTCATTTGATGAGCTTTAGTTACAGCACTTCACTGACCATTTTCGAACCCTCCAGGGCTTATACACGTGATGCTGCAGCAATGCTAGAGTGTTCTAATTAGGATGCAGAGCAGACTCAATGAATTGAGTCTGCTCTGATGCTTTCTAATTAGAACGTACCAGAGCATGTGTATGGGGACCCATTACTACTACCACCACTATCACTACTAACCAGTAATAATACCATATTTACTCAAAATGCAGGTGACTTTGAATTTAAAAACATTTTAAATTTGCTATAATTTTCCATGTAGCTAGTCTGATTATTGGAGGGCCATGTTAAATCCACAGCCCCATCACAGCTGTTCAGGGAAAGCAGTCGTGAAGGGCAAGGGGCCAGACCCCCCAACCTTGCTTCCCTGCCTGCCCCCACTGTGCCTATGCCTGTCATCCCTGCTCCCTGCCCCTCCTGCCAATTCCCTTTCTCAGATGGTTAGTTTAATGAGGGGTGCCTTGAGTCTAAAAAGGTTGAGAACGTTGTTCTAAAGTATCATTTCTTATCTAAATTTTTCAGGTCATTTCCTAACAACTATTGGGACAAATTTGTTAAAAGAAAGGTAATACTTTTTAAAAACATTTTAGTAGACTTTGACGTTTAGGCTGGGTTTTTTTAAGTTTGAGTTTTGCTTTAATATTTGGTATGCTACAGAATGGCATAATTCCTTGAAATTTATCTGAATATAAATTATTAATTATTGTATTTACCAATTTATACCAAGTCAGATTACTTACCTTATTTGTGTATGCAACTACACACATACCCACACACACACACACATCTGTACTTATGAATGCATATATTAGGTATTTGGTTTTAAGATTTTTAAATGTAATTTAGAGACAGCTTGTTTGAATTCTTTCATAAAATGCATGTATTCAGCACATACCTATGAAATCTTGGGCATGCAATATGATTGTGTGTATATACCCACACATATACATACTTGCATACATTCTATATATTAAGTTATATGCATGTGTGGGTATGTGTGTACTCTTGTGTGTACTCATACACACTCCTGTTTAGAAAAGATTTATCATTTAAAGATAGAAAATATTAAGGAGTAATGGTAATGCCTTCATTATGAATGCTGGAATTAGTTTCTTGTAAACATCATTGTCAGTCTTCCCAAATTCCCTGTAATGAAATTGATCTTCCTAAATATTTTATTATTTACTACAAAAAAAATCTTTCTAGGCAGTTTGGTAAACACCAAAAAAGGGATGTTAATATTGCTGGGATAGATTTAACTCCTTTTTCACTCCAGCTTATCATTCCATCTCTGCTGATGTCAAAGAAATCAGAGTTTTGAAAGTTTACTTCAGGTTATGAGGCATTCATGAAAGCTCTAGAACATTATTAAGGATAGTGGACTGATACTTTGGGATGTTATATGGATTCATCTAAATCAGTAACTCTTTCTAATAAAATATGTTGTTTCCTTTTATTTATATATGTTGTTATATATTCTATTGTTACGATATATATTTTCTATATTATAACCATTTCATCAAAATGTGTTTATAAAATTAAATATTAGAGTTAGTTAAAAACGCAACATTTTTTTCATGTACATTGTTACATAAAAGGTATTCCTTTTTCTAAAAAATATTCCAATGTAATAACCAGCTTTACTAAATACAAGTAGAGCAATTAACTGCAAGATAAGTTTATTCTTAAAAAGAAATCAGAGTAAGGAAAAAGTAACCATATTTTTCCCCTCCTGACTCTATTGAATTATATACTTCTTATCTTTTAGGTTATGGATAAGTACGGTGAGTTTTATGGCCGTGACAGAATCAGCGAGTTGCTAGGAATGGACAAAGCTGCTCTGGATTTTAGTGATGCCAGAGAAAAAAAGAAACCAAAGAAAGATAGCTCCTTATCTGCTGTGTATGTACCTCCTTCCATTTTCTTTTCTCTGTTAAGATCAAGCATTTAAATGATATCATTCAGCTTTGAGCATCATGGCTGTTCTTAAACTATTATTCAGAAATGTGTTCTTGATTTTATGTTGTAGAAAATGTAATGAAGAGCAGACAGAGATATAAAGAGGCATAGCATATGGAATTCACACCTAAGTGACTGGTAGGAGGTGCACGGGGGTGCACATGCCCCCCACCAATGGCTGACACTGATGCTGTTGGTAGGGCTGGTGCCCCGCCTGACAGGGCTGCTGCTGTTGGCAGCTTCTGCAGGTGCCCCGCCAGATTCAGGAAGCACCAGTCACTCATGATTCACAAGACTGCATTTCACTTTATAGCTATGTACTTATTTTGTTATGTTAATACTTGAGTGAATAATATTCCCAGAGATGCAATGAATTATAGTGATAACAGGGCTAGGAATTCCATTATTTTCCTTAGAGGGTCCATTATGTCTGAATCAGCCCAAAAAAATGGCTTACAATATACACACCATATATTCCACTTTTAAAAACATTGTATGATGGTATTAGATGCTGTCATAAGTGTAGTAGAATGTTAAGAAATTAGATGTCTAGTCTTTGAAATATTTCCTAACTTGTTTTGTCTGAAGTACATACTTTCCTTCTGTTTGAAAGATAGACAGAAGTATGTGGAAAAGCCAAGCTTCTAGATAGTGAAATAACCAGAGTCATTTTATTCTGAGTACTGAAGAAATTGGCTGAAGTAATTGCGGATCCATTGGCTATCATCTTTGAAAACTTGTGAAGGTCAGGCAAGGTCCTGGATGGCTAGAAAAGGGCAAACATAGGATGTGTCTACACGTGTTTTAATGTTCATTAGTCTTTTTTAATATGCATTAATGAATTACTAAAAAAACCATATTCTTTAGTTAATGCACGTTAAAATAGGCTAATGTGTGTTTAAAGTATCACTAAGTGCCCTTTTTAAGAAATAGAAGAAGGATCTGAGGTCAGCCTGACCTGGATACCTGAAAAGATCATGGATCAGGTTCTCAAGGAATTCATTGTGAAGCTCCTAGAGGACAGCAAGATGCTCAGGAACAGCCCACATGGATTCAGCAAGAGCAAGTCATGCTTGACCAACCTTATGTCCTTCTATGACGAAGTGACAGGCTCTGGGGATGAAGGGAGAGCAGCGAATGTGTTGTACCTTAACTTTATCAAGGGTTTTGATATTGTCTCTCACAACACTCATTAAGAAGCTAAGGAAATACAGACTAGAGAAAAGTACCGTAAGGTGCATACATAGCTGGTTAGATCATTATGCTCGATGAATAGTCATTAATGGCTCTCTGTCTAGTTAGGAGGAGGTATCAAGTGGCTCTGGTAGTGTTCAACATCTTCATTAATGATTTGGATGATGGGATTGAGTGCATGCTTACCAAATTTGTGAATGAAACCAAGTTGGATGGAGTTGCAGACACTGGGGGGGTCAGGGCTAAGATTCATAATAACCTGGATAGACAGGACACCTGGCCTGCAGTCAACCAGATGAAATTCAACAAGGACACAAGTGTAAAATCCTGCATTTGGAAGAGAATAATTGCATGCACAAATACAGACTGCGGAGTTATGGGCTAGGCTGCAGTACTGTAGAGAAGGACCTGGGGTTATAGTAGACCTTAAAATGAATATGTGCCAACAGTGTGCTCTTTGTTGCAAAAAAAAAAAAAAAGGGGACGGGGGCAGATTGAAGCAGAGGGAGAAAAAATTATTTGGGGGCAGGCTTCCCCAGCAGGGAAGTCCCACCCGGCCAAGGCCTCACTCAACTTACCCCTGCTCCTGGCTCTATGGCACCGTCCCTCACTGCGGGGGCCTCTATCTAGCCCCTGTTCCCCCATGGACTGACCTGCTGGGCTGGGACGCATGCACATGGGCACTCAACCCCCCCACCCCAGCCTCGGGTTGACTCCAAGAGGCTTCAGGATCTACCGCCAGAGGCTCCGAGATCTACCGGTGGATTGAGATCCACTGGTTGGTGACCAGTGATGTACAAGTTCCCTAAAGCACTCCCAGCTAGAGTGTCTTCATTTACTACCTGACTTAATGAGGGTTATGTTTTCATGCAATTGGCCATTTTAAAAGTGCTCTGCAGCCATGCACTCATGTTATGACACAGCTGCACAGCTGTACAGTGCTTTTAGGGGCCAGATCACACACAAAAAGTCACTTCTATCTGCATCCCAAGATTTGGGGTGTGCAAAAATAGCTTAAATAATTTCATTCAGGTAGTTGAGAAGTTTTCAAGCAAATATTTATCTTCACACTTTCCTTTATGGTTTTAGTTTGTAATAGGCTTAGAAAGTTGCCACTTATATTGTACTGAACTGTTGTTCACATTAGCTCAGTCTATTGATTTGCCTTTTGATTTGCAAAGCATTCTAGAAAAAAATGTTAAAAGGCTGAAAGGCCCTCTTAAATGTGAATTGATAGTAGCGATAGTGATTCTTTAGTTGACACTCCCTGGTAGTTGCTTTGAACAGCTTTGATATATGCACATTGAGATGAGCCAGGCAGAAAAGTTCAGAGTTATGCTTCTTGTTAATATTTCTGCATCAGTAGACTGCCTGAGGAGCAGTGGGGAAAAAAAGGTAGCAATAGCATTTGACAAAGGGCTACCTTTTCATTTGTAATGAGTACTGTGACACTTGTAAAGAAACTGAAAATACTGGTTCTTGCGGAGGTGATGGGCTAATAGCAAAGGCTGTTTCCACACACAAGGAAGGTAGGTTTTGTATAATTGTCTTTTCATAGTTCTGTCGGTTCATTACAATGACAGATTACTGACCTAATAATATCAGTTATTGCAGAATTGAATCTCTCTCCTGAAGAAACTGTTAAGTTTGTGCCAGTATCCATACTGTGATTTGGGGAAACGTTTTCTCAAAATTAGCACAATGCTGCCAGATTCATTTATTCTTTCTAAATGGTATTGGATAGGTAGGTTCCCAAGGTTGTGCAATATGTCTTAGAAGTCACAGAACTATTTTTAATCAGTTAATTATTCATGATCTTTGTGCAAACTAATTACCAGTCTAACCATTATCCTCAAGATTCTAAAAAAACTCATCGGCATAACTAATTTAGTCTCTACTTTTTCTCTAATTGAGAGAATATTGTAAAAACTTCCTCTGTAATTTTACAGTGCCATTTCACTCTCTAATTAAGGACAATATTAAGAATGAGTGTGATGACTGTGGTTCTTAAAAAAGGGAAGTGGTGGAAGAGAATTATTTCCAGCTTGTTATAAAGTATAAGGGTCTTTACTTGTTAACGTATCAAAAGGATAAAAGTGCAGGAACAAAAGACTAGAAGCAACCAAACATTTCCCCAAACTTACTTAGAAATTTCAAATACAAAGAGGTCGTCTAAACACAAACCAAATAGAATAGCACACTAACCAACCCCAGTTATAACCCCAGATACCTGAACCACATTCCAGAATGGCATCAGAAAAAAATAATTGCTTGTTCTCCACTTATCGTTTCTTTCATGCATCTCAAAGTAACTGAGGTTTTTCTTTCTAAAGCATAGTCTCTACATTATTCATCCAGTGGAATCTTCAAGGCAGACAGGATAAAGCAACATGTGACTGAAGAAAAAATTAATCCTATTGCTTTTCTCCTTCTTAAAATCTTCATCCAGTATTAGGTCTTCAAGGATCTGGAAACCTTCCAAGGGCCACATGGGAGATGAAGTTTGTATAAAGAACCAAATTGATGGAAACAAAGCAAAAATAGCATTTCATAATTTTGTAAATGAAAATGCTTTAGAATGTGTTCACATAGGATAAATAATTCTTGTTATCTGTTTCCTGATTTGTTTTTATTTTTATCATAAAAAAAAAAGGTGAACATTAAAAAACATTAAATTTGGGACACTAATTTTGTTTTAGATGGTAGGTAATTTGAAGAATAAAATAAGGGATGTTAGAAAGGTGTATTCATTCAGAAGGGCCCAGTTCAATATGATGGTTCTGGAGTCTGAATAATAACCTTCTTAAATCATCAGGGTTAGTTCAGTTGTCCTTACCTTTAAGATGTTTATAGAAAAGAACAGCCCCTTATAGTTGAGGGTCTTAAGATAAGGATTCCTTAAATTTCATTCTGCTGTCAGTTGAGAGCCAGACTTGCAGGCCCATGCAGAAGAAGGAAGTGGAAGGAGTTGCTTGCTTCTTTGCTCAGGCAGTCTGCCTTTCCACACCCTTCATGAACTGGACAACAGCTTGTTACTTCCACTTGCAGAATTTGCCAGGAAGTAAGTAGGTGCTTGATGCTGTTCCTGTTCTCATAGTAAATTCCATCCAGTACAGCTGAGCAGGTGCAGGACAGAGTTGGAAGCGGATTTGCACAGTTTACATCTTCCCACTTCTCACCCCAACTTAGAATGATGTCAGGAGACCCTAGAACTTGGAACCTCAATCTAGTTTGTCTCCTGATCCTGCCCAAATATGTGCTCCATTCTAATTGGGCCTAATTATAAGGTTACAAATGACCCAAAGAGTTTGGTATTGAAATAGATTATTATTATTGTATAAGTCTTCTAATATGCCCTTGATTAGATATCTGAATCATCAGAGCTTCATCTCTCCCTGCAAAAATAAACCATGTTCCTTTTGTATCACTTTCTCTTTTTTAGGAATTAGATTTCAAGAAAAAACAATCACAATATTTACATTACTGGGAAAAGCTACAGGTTCTATGAATTTTGCCTTCATTCTGCAAAACAGCTTAAAAGAAAGGCATCTTTCTTCTGTGACTTACAGGAATAGTCAGATATTAAATTATAGTATTGGGTACGATGGCCTTCTGTACCATACTTACCCCTTTGTGATAATTTACTTTTTAACCAAGTTTTCACCATTATCCATGGTTATGGTTTCAGTGTATTTTATATTTTTCAGGGAGTGAAAATGAGTTCTATCCTTACAATACAGTGTCTTGAG